ACTTCAGATTCAAGATCCGAGGTGTGTAAATAGAATAGGCAGTGACTTGTAGGAGACCAAAGATAGATCTAAAGTAGTATTTTTACATACCTCTGACTTTGTATCCTAAACGGAAAAATTAAGAGAAATGTGGAAATAATATGCAGTTTACGTGATTTTTACTAGAAGTTATTAATAATTTACTACACTTTGTAACTTAACAGCAGAGAAAATTTGTGTACACATGTTTCTAATTATTTACTTTTTAAAGACCGAGATAATTAAATAGAAAATTAAAGATTCATCATTTAGACGAGAATAATAGAATATACGCTTAGAGATAACCTAGTTCGGCAAAAATATCAACTATATTTTGGTTAAGATTAAGAGAAAAAAGCAACGCTAGAAACCGGATTTCGATACCTGTGGTGGGCAGAACATAGATAGCCTATTGTGTAGCTTTGTACTTAATTACAAGCAAACAAACAAACATAGAAGAAAAAACGTTTGAATTAATTGATTTGAAGCTATGCCTTCAAGAGCGATAACAAGTTTGAATTAATTGATTTGGAGCTATGAAAATCTTGAAATGTGAATGAGTATTTGGATGTGTTGCATACAAACGTGTTATCGCTCTTGAAGGCATAGCTCCAAATCAATTAATTAAAACGTGTTATCGCTCTTGAAGGCATAGCTCCAAATCAATTAATTAAAACGTGTTATAGCTCTTGAAGACATAGCTCCAAATCAATTAATTTAAACGTGTTATCGCTCTTGAAGAGAAATGTCAGTTTCAACATTCTTCTTCTAACAAATTTATGTCACACTCGCGTTGATATGATTGTAATTTCTTTATGAATTGTAGATCTCCTCTCCTGTGGCTCAGCAGTAAGTCTGAGGGCTTATAACGCCAAGAATGGGGTTTCGATACCCATGGTGGGCAGAGTTTTACAAATTAATTGTAAGACTTGACGCTTCAAACACATTTTTTCTTCTTTTGTTAAGAACAGGATAGTCAAATCTGAATGATTAATTAACGGGCCAGGATATCTAGTGTTTAGCGTGCTGGGCTGCAGGTTGGAACGTTCAAGGATCACACTGCGATGTCCCTAAATATGGTAACACGTGAGTGCATTATGAGCCATTTTTGTTATTCAGTTCAAAACCGGACAAAGTGGCGGTTGGTGCTGTTGACTTGTTGCCTTGCTTCTGGTCAGTATTCATATTTCAAAAAGAAAGGATGGCTATACTGAAATATTTGGTTCTTTGACCTGGCCATTTAGCCCATATGCACATAAGGCGCCGTTCAGGTTAATTAACCAAATACCAATACCGTTTAATCACCATTCACTTGCCGTGTCTACACGTGTGATTTAAAGAGCAAAACACCTCGCGTCAGTATTTAATTCGAGTGCAGTTAAACGACGCAGTTACTAGGCTTATGTATATATACATTTCTCTGGACACTTCTATTATAACACTTTAGTTTAATAGATACATGAATATTAATCGTGTCTGTGGTATTTCCCGAACAAAAGTAATTTCTGCAAAGCCGTCAATTAGGTTCGATAACTGGAGTCGGATAATACCGGATTACGGATTATACTGATCTCTCCATTCTACAAGTGGGATCGTCGAGAAGAAAGATAAGTTTATAATGAAGATAAAAATGTTTATTCATAAAAAAACTAAATCACAAGAACTCATCAATGACAAAACACAAACAAGTACTTGCGTGTGTTTGGAGTGAGTGTGGAGCTGGACAACTGGAAAGAGATGTGTGACAAAATCTTTACTAAATTCTCCTACAACTTTGGTGTATTTTCCCCCTTTGTAAGTTATGCAATGTAAACATGAGAACTTCAAAGTTAAGCTTAAACAAATAAAAAAATCCAAATCCACCATGGACTTTAGAAAAGGTTAAACCAAAAATTTCTTCATCTTTAGTCTAGTTTAAATCACACTAACAAAAACTTTTAATTTAAGCCCAAATGCTTCTACAAACAAGAGTTATTCTTACAAAAGTTAATGTCAAAGTTCTAAAAGTTACAAAGATTAGTTAGTTTTTAAACGTTAAACAGAGATTTTCAGAGTTAAATGGAAAATTGTTCTTTCATGAGTAAATCTGGCTTTATATACACAAAGCACTAACAAAGCCAGGCTTGTGCACGAAATGCATTTCACATCCAAGGCATTTGTCCACTGGGACTTGAGTTATAGGGTGCGGCTGCTCCTTATCCAGGAAAGACAACTTTATATTTTTGGACATCACATGCTATTTTCTCTGGAATAAAGTCAGTTAATTGTTAATTGGCGAACCCACATCTTAAAGTGTTATTCGAGCGAATGTCTTCTTGCAAACTGATAACTATGATAAACATAACACAATAATTCCAAAAACAAGAGAATATCCTCAATAGCCGCGGCACTTGAAATTCTTTCCGGCAGGATAAGAGTAAACTATTTTTTGAGACCTTGGGCGAGGTAAAATACATCAATCGAAAGGGTATGACATCCTTAGTCCAAAACTGTAATTAGATCTCAAATCGGTCAAGAGATGACGGAGATATGAGCTAAACGTTTGTACTTAAAAAGCTTAGAGCCATTCTATGGGCCGCTATGCCGGGGCTAAAAATTACATCTCAACTGCATGTGTAACTTAGTTTCATGCCTTTTGTCTGTTTTTATTCAAATCGTTTGATGCTTCTTAGAAGTAAGCATCAAACAAGAGGTTTTACACGGATTTCACATAAAAAAGAATAATGTAAAAAGTTATGGATGTATAAAATACTCGGGTGGGTGTGTACTAATGGCTAATGTATTTGAACTGTGAATTCTAAAGTTCAGATCATTGGTCAAGATCGTTCTTCACATTTTAGGGACACGGGAGGGGGATGACCTATAAGACTGACTGTTAAGTCTCATTATTCTTCAGACAAAAGAAGCCCAAAAGTTGGTGGTAGGTGTTATAGACAAACTACCTTCCCTCTAATTTATCAGTTCAAAAAGCTACACGAGGGCTATTTGCGCTAGCCGTCCCTAATATAGCAGTGATAGACTAAAGGGAAGGCAGCTAGTCAACACCACCCACCGCCAACTCTTGAGCTACTCTTTTACCAACGAATAATGGGTTTGACCTTAACATTATAATTCTCGCACGGCTGAAAGGGCGAGCATGTTTGGTGTAACGGGGATTCGAATCCGTGATCCGCAGATTGCGAGTCGAGCGCCCTAACCACCAGGCAAACTTTCTAAGTAATTAAGGTATAAAGAGCTCAAGTAAGTTTCTGTCAAATATGTACCACTCGAAATCCATTCCTGCGACTAAGCATACTTCAGTTTTCCTCCCGATGGTTCAGCTAAAAATGGGGGTCTTGATACCTCCGGTGGGCAGAGTACAGATACCCCATTGTTTAGCTTTGTGCTTAAAAACAATCAAAATCCCAAGAATTATTCAATCATATGATGCCATTAAGAAGACTAAAAATATGTTCGTTAATAAATCAACAACTTCCTAGTTATATTGAATTATTGCAGGACTACATTTGGAACGAATACCAGCCGGTTCTTAGTTCGAGTTTTAAGTGATATTCAACCCGTAAATTTGAAAGGATTTAAAAATGAATCCGTTATTAATATGACCAATTAACTAGTTCAAGGTTACATAGTATCTAATACTAGCTTGGTGAATTCATTGCATAGCCAAATGATAAAGAATACGCACTTCAAATTTAGATAAATTCATAGAAAACAAAACAAAACAAAAAACAATGTAAGCAATATTGAAGAACAAAATAAGCCCTTGACACTTTACTTGAACTACATTAAATTAAGCATAAGCTCTTGACACTTTACTTGAACTACATTAAATTAAGCATAAGCCCTTGACACCTAACTTGAACTACATTAAATTAAGCATAAGCCCTTGACACTTTACTTGAACTACATTAAATTAAGCATAAGCCCTTGACACCTTACTTGAACTACATTAAACTAAGCATAAGCCCTTGACACCTTACTTGAACTACATTAAATTAAGCAAGTTGTTCAGTTTACCATGCACGCTTCAGAAAAGCTCGTATATAGAGATGTCAATTTCTCTTTACTTTCAGGAATTATCCACAAATTAATGTCCCGTAGAGACCTAGTAGAGTTCGTTGCCAGCCGAGAGGTTAAAAGTAGACAGACACTTTAGGATCAAAACTCATACTTCTTCTGCTAAATACCGGAACATCGAAGACGACAAGAAAAAATATCATCCTGCTTAGTTTATGATCAGACATGACTTACCAGAAGTGAACGTGTGTGCTTAATCAGCCAAGAATTCGTTCGTTTGCTCGATACTTGCTAGATAAAGGATGCAGTTGTCATGAAAACAGTTTCCTGCACGCTATTTTCGATAGACCGTTCTACTTATAACATTTATAGTAATATCATAAAAGTTGATACTGCGCAGGAAGCACAAAGTTTCATAATGGGCTATTTGTGCTGTGCTCAACTCAGGGATTGATCCTCGAATTTAGTGCTATAAGCCTCAGACTTACCACTAAACTACCAGGGAGGAGAGGGATTTGTCTTGAAGTAAAGAGAATATCTAAACATATTTAACTAAAAATATTAATTAATCTAGAGTGAAAACTGCCTGAATTAGTTTCATATTACCGATAAAAATCAGTAGACTTAAGTAAATCCTTCTTATTTACTATATACAGAAATACAATTATCCCACTGAAAGGAAATGGGTGCATACTTTCAAGTAAGGAGAGATAGCTACACCAGTCTCTTTCTGTATCGACTTGAAATCCTGTTTTTGTTTTTCCACCTCACTAGTCATTTGCTCTTCCCCCACTTTCTAAACCATTAGCCCCCTCTTCCGCCCTTCTCAAAACGACACGAACTCAAAGTTCAGTATCTGGCGTACCAAGTGCCTCGTGCTTCAACGGTCTGTCCTCATACTGCTCGTTCCTTTCGATAACGTGCATGCTTAAAGTCCTATGGTGATAACCCGTGCGGAAGACGACCTGCACTACACGTTGGCCAAACATTCTTGAAGACTGGCCGAAATATTTATGAGCGTCCGGACAGCTAGCCAATCAAATAACAAATTTTTGTTCAAAACCTTCACGTTGTCCATGCGAGGAAGGATGCTGCTAAATGTGATATTTTCTGTCAATCTGAGTTGAATAAATTTCGAACGACAGTTACAAGCCTTGCGTAGAAAGAATTGGCTTAGTGACACGTGGACTGAAATATTCCTACAGCATGAGGATACTGAGGAAGCTATTTACACGCACAACATGAGGATATTCAGGAAGCTGTTTACACCCACAACATGAGAATATTCAGGAAGCTCTTAAGCGGCGCTCAAGGTGAGAAAGGTTTCGTTCTCCCTCAACTGTTAACCATTTTATTATGAAGTCTGAATATTGATGTTATCTCAGAAAGTGTAATTGAGCAATATTTTGCAAGAAATTAATTATAATTATTACAGTTTTAAATTGTTTGGTTGTTAAACACAAAGATACACAATGGAATATCAGTGCTTCGTCCACCACAGGTATCGAAACCCGATTTTTAGCATTGTAAACACGCACACGTACCGTTGACCCACTGGAGAAGCTATAATTTTAAGAAAGCACCCACCTTCGTCCTGCCCGGACTGTGAATTTGAGAATTCGTGGGTCGCATCCCGTGAGTGCGCTTTAAGAGTGACAGTTAAACCACACTGGTCAGATAAGATTAGTTCAAGAATTTGCGGTGAGTGTTGTGGATTTACCATTTACAAATTCCACATGTACAGTTTACCACAAAAACGAAGACTGATTTCGGACTTCAACCGGAGTAACTTTCAATGAAAATAATGCTTTTTGGTGATATCCAAAACAGTTTTTATACCTTTTACTTAAGTTTTAAACATACGTGGGTGCTTATGCGCATCACTAAATCTAGCTGTGAAATTAAACGACTTCAAACCTTGTTTGATCTGAAACATTACAACATTACAAAGGACTGTGTGTAATAACAAAATATGCGTAGATTAATAAAATGAATAATATTACCACAACTTTGCCCTAGATGCAAATTTAGGCTAAAATTAAACACACTTTTGAAGGAAGTGCTTTATTCCTTACAGTTTCTAGGTAACAAGTGTGACTATATTGGTTATTCTTTCATTGATGCATCATACAATGAATATTACATTTCTCTCTATATACACACACACACACATATATATATATATATATATACTTGCTTTTAAGATTATTCGTCTGGTTAGATTTTGAAATACATCTTATATTTCTTGATTTATATTGCATGTAGTACTAATCTTAAGGAAATTCCTGCAGTGTGTTTGTTTTCTATTTTTTAATATCGTATGAGCGTTTTGTTAGCGGAAAGAAGTAAAGATTTTACAGATCTCGGAAGTTTCCACGCTGCTCAGTCCGTTACATGTTGCTGTTTTTTTTTATCTTTTTTCATGCTTAACTTTAGTTTTATTATTACAGTTATCAGATGCGGTAGTACGTAATATTTATAATAAATGCCAGGCATGGACTTGTACTTTATAGGTGTGTTTTTTGCTTACGATACGGCTGGAAATCTAGATTTTTGTTAAATCGAAACATCTTAATATTACGCAATAACAAATGTTCGATTTTTACTTAACTGGTCGGGGGCTAACTACGTTATGAAACTGGAATTTTCAACATTTACATCACCCTACGCATACGGGGACTAAACGCCAGGTCAGACACCTCTGTGGTACTGGTATAGCCGTCCTTAATTTTGAGATACTGACTAGAAAAGAGCAATCAGACAGAAGCATCCACCGCCACAAAGGACCTTTACTCGGCTCTTTCAACCAAATAACGGGAATATCTGCCACTTTCATAATGCACCCACAGTTAAAAGTATTAGCAGCAACACGCCTCGAACCTCAGACTCTTCGAAACATAGCCCGACACGCAAATCATTAGCTTTTGAAGTACGTTATTAACTGTACAACTACATTTTCACCGTATTAGTTAAAATATATATTATGATATGTACTAGTTTTAGTTATTAAAAAACTACGTTGCTAGGAACTATTATAATATGTAGTAGTTTGAGTTATTACAAACTACGTTGCTAGGAACCGTTATGATATGTAGTATCTTGAGTTATTAAAAAACTACGTTGCTATGAACTATTATAATATGTAGTAGTTTGAGTTATTACAAACTACGTTGCTAGGAACTGTTATGATATGTAGTAGTTTGAGTTATTAAAAACTACGTTGCTATGAACTATTATAATATGTAGTAGTTTGAGTTATTACAAACTACGATGCAAGGAACTATTATGATATGTAGTAGCTTGAGTTATTACAAACTACGTTGCTAGGAACTGTTATGATATGTAGTAGTTTGAGTTATTACAAACTACGTTACTAGGAACTGTTATGATATGTAGTAGTTTGAGTTATTACAAACTACGTTACTAGGAACTGTTATGATATGTAGTAGTTTGAGTTATTAAAAACTACGTTGCTAGGAACTGTTATGATATGTACTAGTATGAGTTATTAAAAACTACGTTGCTAGGAACTTTTATGACATGTAGTAGTATAGTTGTTAAAAACTACGTTGCTAGGAACTGTTATGATATGTAGTAGTTTGAGTTATTACAAAATACGATGCAAGGAACTGTTATGACATGTAGTAGTTTGAATTATTAGAACCTACGTTGTTAGGAACTGTTATGATATGTAGTAGTTTGAGTTATTACAAAATACGATGCAAGGAACTGTTATGACATGTAGTAGTTTGAATTATTAAAACCTACGTTGTTAGGAACTGTTATGATATGTAGTAGTTTGAGTTATTACAAAATACGATGCAAGGAACTGTTATGACATCTAGTATTTTGAATTATTAAAACCTACGTTGTTAGGAACTGTTATGATATGTAGTAGTTTGAGTTGTTGACAAACTACCTCTCTAGAAAGAACTAAATGGCTAACTGATTAGCTCATTTGGTAGAGCGATCGCTTGGAGTACAAGAAGTACCGACTAATGAAACACTACATATATACAGAAAGTTCTATATTGTAGTTGCAGTGTGTTTTTAATCCTTTTGAGTCGTTTCTTTAAGATCTGTTAATGATATTTGTTCCTTGTGATAGGAATTTACTGAGTGACGAACGGCGTCATTTCCTCTGCTAGAAGCAGCGCTTCCTGTTTGTGATTTCAAAATTCACAGACTAAGCCCCACAAATATGAAAAATATTTAAATGTTTTCGACTGTCGGTTAAGTCGCTAGGTTAACAAGGTTATGTTTTGGTTGTTCTTTAAAGGCGTAGTTCACTTTGATCTGAAGTTAATATCGATTAATAATGTGAACGTTATACACGTTGTCGTTAAAAAGTATTGAAAAAATGTTGTGGACAGTAGCTATATATTCTTTAGGATAACAGGAACACTAATCCAACGTTGTCAACAATTCAGTAGTTTGACAAGATCCCAACGCCAGGTAAATTTGTTAGCTTCTGTTTCTACAACGTTAATAAGATCCCAACGCCAGGTAAATTTGTTAGCTTCTGTTTCTACAACGTTAATAAGATCCCAACGCCAGGTAAATTTGTTAGCTTCTGTTTCTACAACGTTAATAAGATCCCAACGCCAGGTAAATTTGTTAGCTTCTGTTTCTACAACGTTAATAAGATCCCAACGCCAGGTAAATTTGTTAGCTTCTGTTTCTACAACGTTAATAAGATCCCAACGCCAGGTAAATTTGTTAGCTTCTGTTTCTACAACGTTAATAAGATCCCAACGCTAGGTAAATTTGTTAGCTTCTGTTTCTACAACGTTAATAAGATCCCAACGCCAGGTTAAATTTGTTAGCCTCTGTTTCTACAACGCTAATAAAGTTCAAACGACAGGTACATTTTCTAACTCCTGTTTCTTAATAAGATTCCGACGCCAGGTACGTTTATCAATTCTTGATTGAACTAGGTTGATAAAGTGCTAGCTCAAGGTTATAATTCATTTTTAAAGATTTCATGGTCGGGTATTGCACATGAACCATTCAAACTTGATACCAATCGCTTAGGTATTTTTATTTTTCAGAGTTCGCCATCACCATGGGTAACGAAAATGGTGATGGATAACTGATGATAGTGAACTGTATAATTAGCAAAACATTAGTAAAATCCAGGTGTGTGCTTTACGTAAGTTTAGAAAATATGTCAAAATTACAGTTTGTTAATATAGTTGAGTACGTTATATTAAAACGATTTTAGCGTCTCACCACGTCGTCACACTCTACGTATCCTCGTCTAGCCATGGGCTATCTGACGACCGTGCAACTTGAGAATAGCCCAGCAGTGTAGTTTCTATTGCAATAGGCTCTGTCGTAAGGCTGCCATGTTTCAAACATACAGTTCCTCTGGGTATACTTTTCCTAACACATCTAACACCCGTTTAAAAAGTTTGTGCATGAAGTAGCATAAATATCCATTCATTATTCAGCTGCTTGAGGTATGCCACAGTCGAACTGTTATATCGTGGAAGCATCTTGTGTACACGTGACTTGTGTAATTTTTCCAGGCAGAGATCCTTCTTGATCGTGTTGCATATTGTTGCTTGGGTCACGTGGACGACTTTTTCCACTGATCTTTGTGTTCGTGGATTCTCATATGTTACAATTTATCGCATTTGTCTTACCATGGCTTGGGTACGACTTATTGCAGGTCCCTTTCTGGATAATCCTGGAACCCCATGGTAACCCCAATTTTTTTGTTTTCCAACGCCATAAAGTAAAAAAGATATTTCCGTCTTAGAAATTGTAAAACCACGATCAGAACATTTCTTTAATACTGAGTGTGTGAATAGTTCGCGTCAGAAAAGGCTTTTACATACCCTTCCCAAAAGCGATTAATTTTCGGAGGCAGCATACTACTTAAGAGTGGCCAAACTATGTCAAAATTTAGCTCTGATACAATTATTTTCACCGCGAATTTATATAGACTGTGGTTATGACTTTATTATTCAAAATAGTTTTAACATAAAGTACTCTACTTTGTATATATAAACAAAGAAAAGTTTGTGGGAATATAGACGTGCAAAGGCGTATACTGAGCAAAAAATTCTAACTTTGAAAATGATTAAGAGACACAAGAAATGTTTGCATACAACATAAAATAAAATAGTTATCTGAATACAAACAAAAAGCTGATTTTCGTTAAATCTTGAGCCATATTTTTTAGATATTTGATCAAACTGCCCTTTTCTTACTTCATTTAGTCTTTTAATTTTAATTTCATGAAATAAATTGAGTGTTTCGTTTCGTTACCGATATACCTTTGTATATATCATTCTTGAAATTGTAT